AAATGAAATGGGCTCAACCCACTGAATCAATTGTAAAACTCTCTAATAAGTGATGCCCTGCAATTTGACAAACGCCGTGCTGAAGTAGTCACTGCTTGACTTTGAGGACTGGGGAAAGTCAAGCGTTCCATGAGATCACACTTCAGCTTGAATCCTGTTTTCATATTGGTCAATTTTTGTATTTATTTCACTTGCTTTGGAATAGGTTTCAACCCAGTCAGTTACCCAGGCCTTTCATCATCCAGCACAACCACTGTTCTCATCTGAATCCTCCACAACACTCCCTGAAGAACATGCATCCCAGCAAAACTGATCTGCTTATTACCTGCTTTCCACACACTAGATTTTGGCCTTTGCCTCTCCCTGGTATGCTTTTATGTTCATGGTTTATTTCCACCTATCCAAATACCTCTGACTCTACAAGGTCACACTGAAGTAGCCCCTCCATGCAGAACAAATTCCTTCTGCCTCTGGAGTTCTAAGCACTCTATCCTTCCTTCCTGTCTATCTTCCATTCACACACACCCTGTCACACTCCCATGTTCTCAGAGCCCAAACAGCCTTAAGAATCTACTTGGTATGAACTGTATGTGTTGACTGAACAACTGAATATGCATCTCTTACATAGACAGAAAACTGCCTACCAGGCAGCACAGGGGTTAAAGACTGAGAAAGGTCAGGTCAGGGCCAAAACCACCAAAAACCCCTCAACCGAAACCAGAAACTTCTATTCTCTTCAGTAGATGTTGTGCCTTCTGCCTTTGAAAAAACAGTTATAACAAGCATCACAAGAAAATATGAATGCTTTAACAATTGTTTACGAGTTCTTCTTTCAATTAAAAAAGTAGCCAGGCAAGGTGGCACACATTTGTAGTTCCAGCTACTTGGGAGGCTGAAGCAGGAGGATTGCTTGAAGCCAGTGGTTTGATGCCCTAGTGCACTGTGACCACATCTGTGAATAGTCACTGGACTCTAGCCTGGGCAACAATATAGCAAGACCCCATATTTTTTTTTAAAAAAAAGGTAGCATAAGTGAAGATTAGCAGTTTAGCAAACATGCCATGTTTCATATTCTAACTTCTCTTATTTAAAATCTAGTCTCCCAAATGTAATAAAGCTACCCATAGACAGATGGGCAGTACTTAGCAAAATGAATAGACACCACCAAGTTTCTCTCCCTCTGGCTCATTACGATGCAAGCACACAGGCCCACTTTCCCTCAAGTCAGCCCCCTTTTCTCATTACCATAGTCTTTTGGTTTAACTTACTTCCCTGTGTCTTGTTTCAAAAACAAAATCTTTCACATCATCTTTTAATTATGCATTTTTATTTTTGTCTCCCCAATTAAACAATAATTTTCTTAGACCTAAGTCAGAAATATTAACATCAAAGTATCTTAAATCTACATGCAAATATATTTTACATTGATCTTCTAACAGCTTCCTCGTTTGACAAATGCTTATCAAGTAGCTGCTAGATACTCAAACGGTGGGCTAGAAACTCAACAGATCTTTGAGGTACTAAACTGAAAATGCCACACTTCCAAAGGAAAGGAGATAATGGGATAATAGCAAATTCAAACTCATTATCCCGAATTGAAAATCACATACAATTCTTGTAATTCTGTACTACAAAGAATCAATAAGCAGCAAGGAAGAAAATTCTAAAGATAATCTCAAGGTAAAATACTTCAAACATATACAGTATAATAAATTGGCAAAAAAATAAGAAAGAAGAAAAGTAAACATAAAAAGCCTTAAAAAAGTAGTCTTTTAGTTTTGGGAATGCTGCTCAACTACAAACTAAATCAAGTCAGATATTAAATACTCTACAGAAGATACTTCTAAATATTACATAGAAAATACTTCTATTTTAACGTTAGTAAAGAGCTATTAATATCATTTGATAATGAGTGGTCTTTTCCCTTATATATTATGCAAATAATATATACTGGAAGGAGCAGAAACAATCTACAGCCATTGACATTGGAAGAAGAACTGGAGTCAGTCATCTGGAAAGACGCAAATGCTCTAAGGTAAAAGCTGCTCCCTCATGCCACCATAAGCAGTAGTCTACAGACTTTTTTACACCAAAAGTACAGTAAGAAGACTTTACACAACTTAGCACACACACACATGTGTGTGTGTGCATCTGTGTGTATATATATATATAGCAAATGGAAGTTTCTCTAAATAGTATCTATCCTTATTAGTGTGACAGATATTATCTCTTTGTAGTTTTTTTTTTTTTCATCTAAAATGAAATGGGCTCAACCCACTGAATCAATTGTAAAACTCTCTAATAAGTGATGCCCTGCAATTTGACAAACGCCGTGCTGAAGTAGTCACTGCTTGACTTTGAGGACTGGGGAAAGTCAAGCGTTCCATGAGATCATACTTCAGCTTGAATCCTGTTTTCATATTGGTCAATTTTTGTATTTATTTCACTTGCTTTGGAATAGGTTTCAACCCAGTCAGTTACCCAGGCCTTTCATCATCCAGCACAACCACTGTTCTCATCTGAATCCTCCACAACACTCCCTGAAGAACATGCATCCCAGCAAAACTGATCTGCTTATTACCTGCTTTCCACACACTAGATTTTGGCCTTTGCCTCTCCCTGGTATGCTTTTATGTTCATGGTTTATTTCCACCTATCCAAATACCTCTGACTCTACAAGGTCACACTGAAGTAGCCCCTCCATGCAGAACAAATTCCTTCTGCCTCTGGAGTTCTAAGCACTCTATCCTTCCTTCCTGTCTATCTTCCATTCACACACACCCTGTCACACTCCCATGTTCTCAGAGCCCAAACAGCCTTAAGAATCTACTTGGTATGAACTGTATGTGTTGACTGAACAACTGAATATGCATCTCTTACATAGACAGAAAACTGCCTACCAGGCAGCACAGGGGTTAAAGACTGAGAAAGGTCAGGTCAGGGCCAAAACCACCAAAAACCCCTCAACCGAAACCAGAAACTTCTATTCTCTTCAGTAGATGTTGTGCCTTCTGCCTTTGAAAAAACAGTTATAACAAGCATCACAAGAAAATATGAATGCTTTAACAATTGTTTACGAGTTCTTCTTTCAATTAAAAAAGTAGCCAGGCAAGGTGGCACACATTTGTAGTTCCAGCTACTTGGGAGGCTGAAGCAGGAGGATTGCTTGAAGCCAGTGGTTTGATGCCCTAGTGCACTGTGACCACATCTGTGAATAGTCACTGGACTCTAGCCTGGGCAACAATATAGCAAGACCCCATATTTTTTTTTAAAAAAAAGGTAGCATAAGTGAAGATTAGCAGTTTAGCAAACATGCCATGTTTCATATTCTAACTTCTCTTATTTAAAATCTAGTCTCCCAAATGTAATAAAGCTACCCATAGACAGATGGGCAGTACTTAGCAAAATGAATAGACACCACCAAGTTTCTCTCCCTCTGGCTCATTACGATGCAAGCACACAGGCCCACTTTCCCTCAAGTCAGCCCCCTTTTCTCATTACCATAGTCTTTTGGTTTAACTTACTTCCCTGTGTCTTGTTTCAAAAACAAAATCTTTCACATCATCTTTTAATTATGCATTTTTATTTTTGTCTCCCCAATTAAACAATAATTTTCTTAGACCTAAGTCAGAAATATTAACATCAAAGTATCTTAAATCTACATGCAAATATATTTTACATTGATCTTCTAACAGCTTCCTCGTTTGACAAATGCTTATCAAGTAGCTGCTAGATACTCAAACGGTGGGCTAGAAACTCAACAGATCTTTGAGGTACTAAACTGAAAATGCCACACTTCCAAAGGAAAGGAGATAATGGGATAATAGCAAATTCAAACTCATTATCCCGAATTGAAAATCACATACAATTCTTGTAACTCTGTACTACAAAGAATCAATAAGCAGCAAGGAAGAAAATTCTAAAGATAATCTCAAGGTAAAATACTTCAAACATATACAGTATAATAAATTGGCAAAAAAATAAGAAAGAAGAAAAGTAAACATAAAAAGCCTTAAAAAAGTAGTCTTTTAGTTTTGGGAATGCTGCTCAACTACAAACTAAATCAAGTCAGATATTAAATACTCTACAGAAGATACTTCTAAATATTACATAGAAAATACTTCTATTTTAACGTTAGTAAAGAGCTATTAATATCATTTGATAATGAGTGGTCTTTTCCCTTATATATTATGCAAATAATGTATACTGGAAGGAGCTGAAACAATCTACAGCCATTGACATTGGAAGAAGAACGGAGTCAGCCATCTGGAAAGACCCAAATGCTCTAAGGTAAACGCTGCTCCCTCATGCTACCTTAAGCAGTAGTCTACAGACTTTTTTTTACACCAAAACTATAGTAAGAAGTCAGACTTCACACATCTCAGCACACACACATATACACATACATACAGCAAATGGTTCTATAACCATATATGGAATATATATTGTTTATACCCAAATGCCTATGAATATTTAAAATTTAGGCACTGTGGCTCATGCCTGTAATCTCAGTACTTTGGGAGGCTGAGATGTGCAGATCACTCAAACTCAGGAAGTTGAGACTAGTCTGGGCAACATAGTGAAACCCTGTCTCTACAAAAAATACAAAAAATTAGCAGAGTTTGGTGGTGTGCACCTACAGTCCCAGCTACTCAGGAGGCTGAAGTGGGAGGATCGCTTGAACCCAGAAGGCAGAGGTTGTAGTGAGCACAGATCACACTACTGCACTCCAGCCTGGGTGACAGAGACCCTGTCTCAAAAAAAAAAATAATTAAATTTATCAAGTATTCCCAACTCTATTTACACCTCTAAAACTATCTTAAGTGTGATGGGCCATGGCAGTGGTGAAATCATGCAAATAATGAATGATTTTATGATAATAAGATATTTTAGGATATTTTCATAAAACTGAACTATAAATTAATCAGTGATTAACTATTAAGTAATCAACTATTTTATTTTAGTATATCTTATAAACACATAGTAAAATATTATCTTACCTTAAATATGTGCCATATATGAAGAATAATGCCATCATTAGTCCATTTAAAATAAAAATTACAGCAACATAAAAGCAAGCAGGATCTCCCAATCCTTTAAAAATAAACAAAACATACGTTCTAACCACATTAACCCAAATTACCTTATGTGTCTAGCAATTTATATTAAATTGTGTTCATTTTGAAAATGGTGGCCAGATATATTAAATAGTTGCCTTGGTTCCCACATGAAAACATAACACTACTGCAGAACATAAATGCGATCAGGGTAATGAGCAATGGTGATTTTAAAACAGGGCTGCAAATTCACAGATATGCCTCCTCAGGAGGTATGGGGTCTATAGCCCCCATTTTTGAGTTTCATTGGTCTTGTGACTCTTTCAATGGAGTATGGCAGAACAACACTGTGTGACTTCTGAGGCTAGGTCATAAGAGGCCAAGCAGTGTCCAGCTTGGAGCCTTCAGCTGCCATAGGAAAAGCCTTACTACAACTCTGAGGTACTTTGCTATCAAAAAGCCCAAGTCACCCAGAAAGGCCACAGGTAGGTGTCCCAGCTGACAATTCCAGCTGAGCTCAGCCTCACAGTCCTCCACGCCCAGGAGTCAAAATGTGAGCAATGCAGCCTCTCAAGTTAATTCCAGTCTTCCCAGACATTTGCGTCTTACTAGCAGAGGTCCCTGAAATCATGGAGATAAACCAGCCCTGCTAAAGCCTACCCAAATTCTGGACCTGCAGAATCCATATGCATAATAAAATGGGTGTTGTTTACACCACTAAGTTTACAGTGTAAGCTTATTATGCTGGATAAGTTTATTATGTTACAACAGATAACTGGACAATATCACAGAAAGAAACTTACCTTCACAGCTTTCAATAGGACTGAGTCCTTCTCCTCTGGTAACCGTCCAACATATCTTGGTCTGAATACCAATCAAGTCCATTATTTTGGTATAAATCCGGTACCAGCTGGCCAAAATTACCTTTTTTTTAAAAAAAAAAAAAAGGAGGCATCTTAAGAAAATATACTAAACAATTTTCATTACTAGAATACTTTTGAGATATTCTGACAATTATCATATTTTCCCTTTCTATACCATCCACTTGGCTCCCTTTAAATGTAGTAAAATGAGGCTCAGAATCTCCTAGGCAGATTCTTCACTGGTCAGTTTTCAATTGTTCATCCATGGTTAAGGACAAAGTATGGGCCAAAAAAAGCGCCAAATTTATGATTTTCAAAAACTATACAACTCTACTAAGAGACACAAAAGAGGATTTGCACAAGTAAAAGATACTGGGTCTACTGGAATAGACTGAATTGAATAATATGAATTCTCCCTCAAATTAATTCATAAACATAAAATAATTCTATTCAAAATTCCTAGTGTCTAAAATGTATCGAGAAAACTAAAGGGAATGTTTTAACAGATATTAAGTCTTACCACTTTCAATAATTAAAATAGTGTGACACTGGCACAAGAATGTCTAGACAGATCAATGTAGCCATGGTATAGGTGGTGGTAAGCCACCCCAGATTCCCTCTTCTGGGGTGAGGCACTCATTCCTCCAGCTGGTTGGAAGACTGGTAAGTGAGAGCTGAAAGCTGCATCCCTTCCAGGGAACTGCCTGTGGCTGAAGAAAGTAAATTCACTCAAGGTGACAACCTCTACCCAAGGGCAATCTGCATCCAATGACTGACTAGTCAATAGGGAAAGATATCAAGGTCAGGGGCCCTTCTCTCAAGGTAGGACAACTCTGTAAGGTCATCCCAGATCCAGAGCTGCCCAGGGACTGGATGAGGCTTTCACAGTGACTGCATCAAAGCTCTCCTCTTCCTCCTGCCTCATTCATCCCCCTTCAGCTGTTGACCCTAAGGACACTCCCTCAACTACTTCCTGCATGTAAATCTCCATCTCAAAGTCCACTTCCCACAACCTCAACCTAAGGCAATACTGAGCACAAAATCCAGAAACACATGCAAGCATGTATGTATAATAATTTTGCATATAAAGAAG